TTTAATTAATTCAAAATTGATTATTCATATTCACTGATAACGATTAACTACTTCCCCTTTTCTCTCCGCACTGGACATGTCTGGTTGCAGTACGTGCCTTTTCACCTAGTTACTCAACACGTCAACATGATTTGCTCTCTTGACCTTACTTTCCATAGTTCTAATTCACTACTATGCATTTATACTTAATACTAATTAATTATCAAATAATCCGTTACAATTATATAATCATGTTTCCTTTCATTGTTACATATTTCATTTTGTAATATAGAATCAGCTTCAATCATTATACAGCTTTTGGTTATTATAATCTCTGTGCATTGCGTTATTCATTCATTATCTTTCTCCATTACTTGATATGAAGTCCTTTGCTTTCCAAAGTGGTTTTAGCAGATCAGGGATCTCAACTTACTTGAAAAGATGCCTTACAACATGTGTGAGGAGGCTTTAAATTCCTTTTTAAAGTGTTATAAGAAACAAATTCCCAGTTCTCACCTGATAAGAAGCAGACGAAGAGAACATGTTGGATATTCATTTTGAATTTGATCCTGATGAGACAAATCATTAACCTGCAGGAGAGCTGTCTCTGTCACTTCACTCCTTTCACACAGAAGTCTGCTTTAATTTAACACTTCCTTCCTGTATCTCGCTCCTCCTTCTCTGTTAGTTTGCGGATTTAGCTCCCCTCACAACATGATGATGATGATAAGTGATGATGAAGGGGGGTAGGGGGAAGTGTAAATGTCTCCTTGCTGGTTGTTCTGACACATTCAGAATCATTTCCACTTTATCTGTTAGCGTTCAACAAGTGGCTTTTAAAACATACATATTAAAATAATTTAATTAATATCATAAATGTTGGAAGACTAGTGGACTGCTGGCTTTATCTGATGACTACTACACAACCCTGTACTCATCCTATCTGTGACAAGCTGTACAGTGATATCAATCTTCTCAACTGTCAGTTGGGTAAAAACTGACATCAGAGCATCGATAATGACAATCTGCTCTCTGTCCATAGACACTCTGGAAATGCTGCTGTTTGTGAGGCCTGAGATTCTTCTACTGTGTGTTACAGCTGTTAGTTGCTGTGCCAGACTCGACTCCTTGCTTCATTCATTGCGATTAAGTTCATTACAGCATGATGAAGATGTCTGAGTCAGTCCAGTCAGAGTTGCTGCAGGGTGGGTTCGAGGGCCCGATCACCGACATCTGTGACCCTAACCCTAACCCATATAAACCACAGTACAACTTACAAAGCTGGTTCTAAATCAGGTTGAAGTGCACTTTTCAAATGCAGTTAAACATTTAAACAGAAGGGTAATGGATGCGGAAAGGGATGAGCAAAGACACCGTTATCTGTATCTCTTCAACCAGCTACATCATCTGCATCTGTATTTGCACTCAGAATGGGTGGGACTTAACCAAGTTGGTGGGTCTGTGTGAAAAGCGATGTGACTGCATCATTCACTCCTCTTGCAGTAGTTCTTGAAAATGTGTCAACTTTATAATGCAGCTGCTCTGAAGTGTGCTAAGAATAGATCTGACAGAAGTCACTATTAAATCTTAACCTTTATATTTTTAATTGAAAGAGACAAAATAAAAGTTCACTCATTGTGAACATCCACATAAAGTGTTCATTTAAATTTAAGAGAAGTAGCTTATGTCAGTTTATCACCCTGTTTCCTAACACAAACCTGACTGATAAGTTCTGTATACGGGTCTGAGAAACATCAGCTCCACCTCGGAAGAATTTGACAGGATGTTACCTCAACAATAACCTAGCGAAGGTTTATTCATTTTTATTCTTAATTTTAGAATATCACAGTAAAATTAACATCACCACTAGTTTTCCAGATCGAGTGTGTTCCAGTTTGAACTGTCTCTCTGTGTTATCTCAACCACCTACGACCAGTCAAGATATTTTATTTAGAGTAAAACCCTATAAACTGCAGCCAGTTCAGGGACCCTGAAACAGCAATGAACTGTTTCTAACAGACCAACCCTGAGTGATATGATGATCTTATAGAATATGATTCAGTTCAATTTTATTCATATAGCAGCAAATCATTACAGAAGTCATCTAAGTGCACGGTGACAACTACAGAGAGCCAGTGCAGAGAAGTTAGTACAGGAGAAATATGATCTCTTTTCCTGTCAGAATATGTGCCGTAGTATTCTGGATCAACTGGAGAGTCTTCAGGGAATTATTGGGGCAGCCTGATAAGAAATAATTGCAGTAATCCAGCATAGAAGTTACAAATGCATGGACTAGTTTTGTTTCACAGTAGGTGATTTGAGGATGAGGGAGGTGCCATCACCCTCCTCAGTAAAAGTACATAATAATGGAGAACACTAACAACAGATACATGAAAAGTGATACTTACACACATGTGGATGCATTAGTACATGTGAAACAGGTTTCACACATTGGTGGATCTCTTCCTGTTAGTTTGTTTCATATATATGTAACCCAGTGACAATAAAGGGTTAAAATATATTTAATATAATGTTACTGTCCTTACGTAAGCAGAGAGGAATCAGCCACTCATAATTATAGTTTGGTTAAGTCCCGCCCTAGCTGAGCTTGATTGACAGATCATGATGCAACTGTGTGATCTTTTGTTAATGTGAGGAAGAGAGGAGAGATGTGGTCATGTGACTGCGACCGGAGCAAAGGAAATAGAAGAGTAGCATCAAACTTAGTAAAAAGGGGAAGTGGTTGATAGATAACAGTTGTAGATAGCTGATGAGGGATTCAAGTTTTTGGTTAATTTGCTGGAATAGTAACAGTTTAACACACAGTTCAGCTGGCTGTTACTGCGGCCTACTTACTGTAATTTCCTTGTTGCAATGAATAGTTCAGTAAATTGTACATTACTATATGTGAAGGAAAGGATGTTAAAATACCATGTTTTCCATTATTGTTCTGTTGTTATTATTAAGGGATAAATGTTCAATTCTTACATTTTACTGTGGAGAAGGTGATAGTTGATTGAAATTGTATTGACACTGGAGGGTGGGAATATTAGCAGGGCCATACAACATGTATACTGCCATAATCCTTCCTAATATTGTACGGAGGTAAAAGCTTAATGCTATTGTCATTAGTCACTGTTTAATCAACAGTACAATGATGTATGTTGGTAATAATTCTGATATTAATATTAAAAGTCAAAGTTTATTGAACTAGAGTGTAATGTAAGGCCTGAACAGTGAGTGTTATATTATATATGATGTTTAGTGTTACATTATTGTTACACTTTAGTATAATATAATTATATAATTAGTATAATAACAAATAGACAAAACTGAATCTAAAAGTCCTGTTTGCATAAAACAGGTCAGGTCTTATGGACAGAGTGAGAGCCACTTTTGAAGATCCATTCCCATTGATTGATCCCAGAGGGATTCTACCTGGAACCCAGAAGTGACTCATCAAGTCGCCAGGACTGCTACACACGTTCAAAACGGGGGCATACCATCACCAGAAACGTACCACTGGAACAGTCATTGATATTAAGAACCACAGACAGTGGACTGACAAGACAAAACTCGAAAGTGATCACAGACTTAAAAGACTATCGACAAAGACTCATTTATTTTAAAGGGACATTTTTTATTTTCATTCATCTTGTATTCAAATGTTGAGTTATCATCAGCCATACATTATGACCACCTGGACACCCTGGTTGTCACAATGTTATGGCTGATGGGTGTATATACGTATATATAAATAGGGCAGGTGCCACACACAGTTACAGGCATGACAGGGCGAATGTTGATTGAAGAATGGAGTTTACAGTTCCAGTTAAGGTCTGAGATAGGATAGGACACTGCCATGAGTTTAGGATTCTTTTCTGTAATGAGGCCGCAGGTTATGAGACCCAGTGTCTAACCAAACACAGTTCTTGGAAAATGAAGATTATTTTAGAAAAACACGTCCACATCACACCTGTTTACAGACACACACAGGAAATGATGTTTCATATTTCACTAAATATTTTATCTCTATTATTTTAAGTTTAAGAAATTGAGTGTTTAGCCAGAATAGTTAACCCTAATGAATGCTAACAATGCTGACCTGCTAACCAAAAACAATGAGGATTTATCAGAGTTCACAGTGATAAAGAAATATGAAGAACAAAATCAGTCAGTGAACAGTTTGACTGTGGCGCCATCTCCTGGTTTAATAGTAGGCTATACCACAGTGATACCTCCTGTACCCATCTAGTTGAAAATGTAATACAAAGAAAGTTACCCATAAAATTGCTCATAAAAAGATCCCCAAATATCTGTTCAACTACTTCAATCACTTCAGAGACAATCACAACTATGGAACAAGATGCAGCTCAGAGTTTATCCTTTTAGATTCAAGAGTTAAATGGATAAACATCCCTCTTTTATACACAGCTAGTAATAGTTATTTAGGAGATACAAGGTTTTCACTGGACAGGAAGGGTATGAGGAATAGTGTGGTAAAAGTACAATATCTGCCTCTGAGATGTAGTGAAGTAGAAGTTAATACTCAAGTAAAGTGCAGCTACCTGGAATATGAGTAAATGTACTTAGTTACATTCCACTGGTCTCTGCTGTCGTCACTGTTCCTCTTTTAATGCAGTTTTACATGTTGGTTGAATTCAGATGTTCATGGATGTCATTTGGTCCACCATCACTGTGGAGACATCAATGTATCATTTATTGAACCAGAAAGTCTCTTGAGATCCAATATATTTTCACTGACAGAGACTTAGGCAAAGTGGAAGCTGTATACCTTCAATATTTTATAGTATAGCAGTATTCCCATGGCACGACTGCAAAAACTGATTTTATATTGTTTATTGTTACAGTAGCCACATTAGCTTCAGCTGATGCAGTTGCATCCTGGGGTCTGTTAATGCACACAAATAGACAAAATGTACAAAATATATACATTAACAAGGAAATATAAGATAAGAGATCAAATATAAGGTTTAATAACATGGACAAGGTAGGCTGGATAAGAAATATGATCATTTTATTGACATGCTAATTAATTACATACACTCATAAAACACTACACACTGGTACTTTGTGAGCAATTTAATTCATCATGAACAGCAAGAAACCATCAATTGATGGTTAATGGCAGGAAAAATAACCCATTAGCTCAGATACATGAAAGTAAGTAAGTAAAGCTTTATTTATATAGCACCTTTTTAACACAAAGGTCCAAAGTGCTTTACCAACAACAAATATACATATGGGTATTAAATATGCATATAAATATGTACATGTATAACCACACCTGATGCTCAGCAGCATCAGCTCACGATCATGAATATCCACAGAAAATGTAATGGAGATCTGTTGTTTGTAAGTCAAACTTAACCTTATAATATGTAAGGGTCTGTAAGTGGAGATTTATACATCACTACATTAAAACAAGTTGAATCACACAAACTAGTTCTTATGTAGTTTGTATTAAACATGAATGAAATGCTGTTTATTAATGATATAAAACTTTAAAACAAATCATTCTTCTCCTTATTATTATTATGAAATCAATATTATAGTTAATACATCACAATGGCAGCATGTGAAAATAAAGTCCATTTACTCCAAATGTACAGTGGCCCTGAGAGCTCAAATTAAAAAAAAAAAAACATGCAAATAGACAAAAAGCAAACAAATCAAGAATTTACCACAAGATGAAAAGAAGTAACACACCAGCAAAGTGAGAAACACATTCTCATATTTCACCGTACAAACTGGACCTTTGAGGAACAGAAACAGAATCCAGACCTGAATCCAAACAGTTTCATGTGTGTTGCGTGTGTTTGAGTGTAGAGTAGGTTTGGTCCTGATTCCTGATGGCTGGATCGAGGCTCTGGTAGTCTGCACCTGTAGAGACTGGAGGACAGTTCTCATAGATGGCCATCTGAAATTTGACAAAGAAAACCAACTCACTTTCTTGTGAGTGCAACAAGTTTGTTCATGGGGGGGGCGGCACACAGTAACAGCCAGTGAGAAGATACCTGACCTGAATGTTTGTACTCTGGTCTTTGTTCAAGCTTCACTCGCTGTGCCCTCAAATGATCTTTAACATTCACACACTCCCATACTTTAGTCCTATATGCAGTGAAAATCTGCACTGTAGGATGTGAGACAGAAGAGCAGTGCTCCAACTCGAACAGGCAGAGGTGGCTAAACTCAGCAGAGTTCAGTAAAGAAAGGATCAGCTAATGGGTTTATATTTGCTGATATGGGTCCATTGGACCAGATCAGCTCTGATACTGATATAGGATCAGCTTGGATCATCTCTAATCATTATCTTGAGCACTGGCACATCTGTGCCAACAGTGAGAGTAAATAAAGAGTTAAAGACAGTCACCTCAAGGTTTTTGCCGTCTGAGTTCCCTCTGGTCTTCCAACCTGTGGAACAGACACAATATTTTCTCTGTTATATTGAGTTATTATTGAAAGTGCAGATGAGGTTTGAAGGTCTCTCTTGTTGGTTGAAGCAACAGGAAAACAGCCAATGATCAAACACCAACCACAGTCACACAAAACTAAACCAGATCTTCCTGTACAAAAATGGCAGTCCATCCAATAGATGTTGAAATATTTCAGTCTGGACCACATGGTGGACTGAACACTGACAATGCCATCCCCAGAGCCACACTCTCAAACTGCTGTTTCAGTGTCTGTAGTGATCCAACTACTGTTAGCACACTGTAGTCATTTCAGCTGGTACCCAGAACAGATCCTGATACTTTATAAAACCTGCAAACAGCAGAAAACTAATGCTATGTATTCCCAAATAGCTATTTTCCCTCCCCTGAAATGTACCTCCTTCCAGCTCCACAGCTTCCTCGTGTATTAGCATTTACTTGTTGGTGAATGTCCTTGAACATGTGTTCATGATCATTAAATGTTGTGTGTCTCAGGCTCTGCCAGGTGTGTTTGTTAGCTCAGGGACAGTCTGTGTTGTGTTTGTTCAGATTCCTTCCAGAGTATTTCATGAGCAGAGCCACACTGTCAAACTGAAATGTGTACTGTTGCAATAAGTTGTTAAAACCTTGATGTGAGCGTCCTGTTAAATGTAATTTGTGTTACTGTATTTTTCCTGTTCCCCTTACAGTCAAGTTTGGTGTTCCTCTGAATGCAGATTATGGTCAGTACCAGACCCAAGATGATGACGATGATGACAGCAGTCACAATCACATACAGCAGCACATCTGTGTGATATTGAAGAGAAGAAAAAGTTTGTTTTACAGACGCTTCCACGTTAATGATGAAACATGAGGCTCTCTTCGTGTAGTGCTGGCAGATTAATAGTAACAGTTTTTGTCCCATTTAAACACAAACACAACCTCACAAACAACTGACATCTATGGCAGAAGTCAGCCTCATAGATAGAAAGTTGCAGTTGCTATACACAAATCCAGGGAAGTAGCTTCCTGGTGACAGATGTCATCCTCCTAGGGCAAAAAACTGTGGCTGCTAAAAGGTGGAAACAGTTTGGAGGAGAACAAAAAGTTCACTGTGAACTGTACTTGACAACTGGGTGGCTGCTGATGCTGGTGTTGCTGTTGGTGTTGGTGTGGAGGCTGATGGCGATGATGTTTGAAGGTCAAAGAGTCCCATTTGGTTTGGAAGTGGTTGGAGCAGTGATCAATGGAAACACAAACAATCAGATACTGAATGAAAGCCTGTAATATGTGGAGAATTTACTAAAATATTCATATTCTGGTGCTTTTCAAACAATATCAACACAAGTATTAATGTTATCTCCTATATATTGGATGTGAACATTCAATGCCAATATGAAAGTAGAAATCAAAAATAAAATATTTGGTCATATTTTCATTTATTAAATTTGTTTTCCGTTTATTCAAACTGGAAGTTTTCTTTTTTTCTATTTTTAAAGTTTTTCTCATCCTTGACCATGTCATTCTTGTATTATAAAGTGAACATCAAATAATTTATTTTTGTTTTTTTATGCCCTTTTTTAAAAATAAAATCAAAGGACCAAAAGATGCACTGATTTCTCTCATTATTTATTTTGAGATTTTAAATAACAATAGAAGTTTTTTTTCATTATCAGCTCTTTAAAAGTTAATATTCACTGGACAAAAGGTACGTGGATTATAAAGCAACATTTTCTTGAGGTTCAATAAGAAACTCACCATCAATGACAAGGATTGGTAACTTATAAGATGAATCTGGAGACAAAGCTCTGCCGTAACCACACTTGTACCATCCTGTGTCTGACTTGGTCGCCTGTGTGATGGTCATATACAGTTCATATAGAGATCCTTCTTTATATTCAATGCTGTATCTGCCATTCTGAGCTCTGTTCTCCTCTGTTTCAATGAGAATGTCCTCTTCTGTTTTACAATCGCCCTTACACAAGAACTTCTTCTTTCTGTAGACAGTATTGCTGCATCCATAAGTGATATTTTCTCCTTCTGCTAATGTACGGATAAAACTAGAGTTTCTCCCCAACGGTGCTGTTGGAAATATGAACAATCATTAGTTACTGTCTGTACGTCCTTTAAGATGTATTCTGATCACAATATCTGCTGCTTCTCATTAACTCAGAGTCACACTGGGAGCTGCCCAGTTCAACCTCAGTCTGTGACTGGTGTGGTAATGATTTGATAAAACATCAATAAAAAGTCTGTACACCATAAATAACTCCCATTCTTCTCACAATGTAATTTGATTTTATTTATTTTCTTACTTACAAATTCACTAAATATGTTAAATACACTAAATATATCAAGTTTAATTATTTTCAGTAGAAACTCACCATCTGAAACTCTGATCTCAAAGTCAATGTATGAATCTGGAACCAAGGTTTGTCCCAAACCACACCTGTACCGTCCTGAGTCAGACTTGGTCAGATCTGTGATGGTCACAGACAGAGTTCCTCTTTCAGAAGAATCATTTCTGTATTTAATGCTGTATCTGCCACTGTGAGCTGTGACACCATCTGTTCTAATGAGAATATCTTCTGCTTTACATTCTTCCTTACAGAAGAACTTGTTGCTTCCAGACAGACGCAAGGGGCAATTAATTGTTCCACTTCCTCCTACAGCTCCTGTGTAAAGGTTGAGTCTTGCACTGACGAGCCCAGAGTCTCCCCCACACAGTGCTGTTGAAAAGATGAGCAGAGAACACTGATGGTCAGTACTTTCTGTATTGTAGACTGACTGTAAAACAGACAGCAGGTCAATGAGGGCGAATCCATCACTGCACAGAGAATGATACAGAGGCAGCCAAAGTTCAACATCATGGGATGGTGTATATCTAGCAATACACTGTAAAGGACATTCTCTGTGTATGTCTATGCAGTTTAAGCTTTTTTTGCAGCATGTTTCAAATTGTATTAGACTTTTATTTCAGGTAATCACCCCTGCTGGCTGTAAATTTACAGATGCCTTACAACATGTGTGAGGAGGCTTTAAATTTCTTTATAAAGCTTTATAAGAAACAAATTCCCAGTTCTCACCTGATAAGAAGCAGACAAAGAGAACATGTTGGATATTCATTCTGAATATGATCCTGATGAGACAAATCATTAACCTGCAGGAGAACTGTCTCCGTCACTTCACTCCTTCCACTTAAAGCAGAAATCTGAAGCTGCTTGACTTTAACACTTCCTTCCTCTATCTCGTTCCTCCTTCTGTGTTAGTTTACACTCACAACGGTGGTGATGGTGATAAATAATGATGAAAGGGTAATAGGGGTAACAGACTTCCTCTTTCTGATTAACTCCTCTGTCCTATGGAGCCATTATTGTAGAAACTATTTGCAAATGTGAGTGGAGAGTTGTGCAACTGTATCTCAATCCGTGTGTGCTTCACTCTGCACTCGCATTTGTTAATAGTTTTGCTACAATGATGGCTCCATACTGCTCTGGTTTACGCAACAGCTCTGGCTATAAACTTTTTTTCAAATCCATACATCAGAACAAAAACCAACATATCCTCCAGCATTATTACTGCAAACTGAATGTGCTCAACCTGTTCTGCTTCTGCACTTCTTCCATTACTTTACTTCCCACAAACTCTTATTAACTTCATATTAGTTTATTTTATAGAATAACAATGAGTAAATTAAAAAACACATGACAGTTGCATTCAAGACTTATTAAGCATTATACGTATGTATAAAGTGAATAGATTTGGTCCAAGCACAGAACCTTGTGGAACTAGTGTGTCTGGGATATTCATTGTTAATATGTACAAACTGAGATCGAGCTGATGGATAGGACTTAAACCAGCTTAGTGTGGTTCTTTTAATGCCAGTTAGATGCTCAAGTCTCTGTAATAGAATATGATGGTCTGGTAAGATTCCTCTATTTGAAGAGACATCATTACCTGTTGAGGGTAGGCGGTGAATAATTTTGTCTCTAAAAGTAATAATTTGATCATTAAAAAAGCTCATGAAGTCGTTGCTACTGAGGGTTATATGGATACATGGTTCAACGGAGGTGTGACTCTCTGTAAAGAAACCAGGGGTTGTTCCTATTTTTTCTACTCATTTTGAATAATAGGCTGCTCTTGCATTATGGAGGGCCTTTCTCTATGTTTTAAGACTATCTTGCCGGATTGAACTTGATTCTACCAGTTTGGAAGAATGCTATTTACAAATGACCGTGCTTCTTTTTTTAATTGACGGGTTTGGTGATTATACCACGGTGCAAGCCCCTGCCAAAGGGGCAATAGAATCTAGTCTTTTTCGCAGTGAGCCTGCAGCACTATTAACAAGATGATCAATTTAGGAATGACTAAGGTTCTTATAGGAGGCCTCTGTTATATTGAGACATGGCAATTAAATACAGATGGAATCTCCTCGGATTGGATCAGGGGCCTTAAAGACCTTAAACAGGACATTCCTAATTTTTTCACTTTTTAGACCTTTTAGAAACACAGACACAAGTCTATGTAACAAAATACAGCAGAGGGAAGACCCCACAAAGAATAATATGGCATCTTTAAACTGAAGGAAAGATTAATTTCTTCAATTTGCTGTCTGGGTGAATTTTTCTTCAATAAAATATTCTTATATTATTATATACTAATTGTTTAGGCTTTTTGATTTGCATATTTTGTTTCAAATAGGAAAGATATTCAGGTGTTGATATTAGTTTGACAGCACTGCATGAACAGGGCCTCATGTCTTACATCATCATTAACGTGGAAGAGTCTGTAAAACACACCTTTTTTTTTCAACCTCACAGATGTGCTGCTGTATGTGATTGGACTCTTGCAATCATTGTCATCATCTTGGAGCTGGTACTGACCATAATCTGCATTCAGAGGAACACCAAACCTGTGAGGCAACAGGAAAAACACAGTAACAGAAATCACTGAGACTTCCCGTTTCTCACTAAATACATTTAATAAGGACGCTCACATCAAGGTTTTAACCGTACTGTGTGGCTCTGCTCATGAAATACTCTGGAAGGAATCTGAACAAACACACCTGGCAGATTTGAGAGGGATTGCCCTCGGTTTTCCCACGATAAAAAGAAAGCTTGTCATCAGCCAAACATTTTAAAGATCCTCACTGAAAGACGTTTCCACAACTGGTAGATCTACATGAGACATGAGAATAGCCAAATCGTCTCCATGAAGAAAAACATTAGACAAGATTCCCTCAAATCACAAAAGATCAAATAAAGGAGTGGCCCTGGGACACTCCCTCGGGGGACCCCTCAACTAATCCAATTTTTGTGTCATACCAGAGAGGTAAGAAAAGATTAATTTAATGGATTTGACGACATGTTCCTTTTGGGACATAAAAGTGGACAAAATCATTTTGTCCTGTGTATGACAATGAATTCACTGAGAATGAGTATTATTAAAAAGTTATACAGGAAACCTGCAGTAGAAATAAAGACTGATGGAGAAGGGAGGAGAGTAGAGCTGTGTGTTGTGTTTAGAGGAGGGACTCCATTTAAAGAAGACAGAAGTTCCTGGTTTACCAGTAAGGAAGGAAGAGAGGCAGCAGTAAACCATTAGAGCGTCAACATGAAAGTCCATCACACCTTGATCTGTTTCTTCTTCCTCTGTGAGTACATTCACTTTGTATTTCTGTAGCTCTCTTCCTTGCTGTCATATGTGTTATCATTGTCATTTTTCTTCATTTTTCTTACTGGTCAGTAGTTTCTCATGAGTTTTTTATGTGGTCCTAAAACAATCCTCACATGTCCGTATGTATTTTGAAGGGTCATTATTTTCTACAATCATCAATCATTCCTCCAGGACGTAGAGATCCCTCAGTGGAAATGATTGTGGACAGAATGTATAGTCCTTCTGCTGTGTAAAAATGACTTCTAAAGTTTATCTAAAGTGAATAGGAGAGTTAAATCAAATGAGTATATATCTTTGTGTTTGCTTGCTGAGTCATGGTGGAGGGACAGGAACAAAAACAGGGACATTTGTACTAAAAGACTGTAAGTTTGGTAGAGACCGACAGAGTCAGACTGCTGAAGCAGCATGCACATTAGCTCAGAATAAATTTTTACACAGAACGAGGACTGTGGATTTTGTGCCCCTTCACTTATATTGAAAGTGCTTTAATAAGAGATCTCTGTGTGGTCAGTATGAACAGAAGAAACAATTACAGAGAACAAAACTCAACTCAACAGAGCTTATTACTGTTTTAGGACAGGCCAGAGGAAATGTGTCAATCACTTCAAACAGTGATAACAACAAGTACTTGTTACTTCCTCAAAATGAACTGCACATCAGGAAGGAAAATGAAGGACACAAACTTACCAAATGTAGTCGGGTAAAAAACAACATCAGAAGTGTTTTTTTCCTTTGTGTTAACAGAGAAACAAGAAGCAGGAACTATAATGTTGCAACAACGTACATCTTCTTTTGCCCATGCTACACTCTTCCACCAAGTTTCAGGAAAATCAGGCAGGTAATTAATTAATCCTGCTGACAAACAAACAAATGGCACTGAAAACACAACCCCATTGATGGAGGCAATGAAGGATCTTGATTAGATCAAATCATGATATCAAATAATAATAAAAATAGATCAACAGCTGTGTGGCTGCGTGCCATCCACTGTTATCGTTCAAAAATTCAATGCAAGTCTATGGCTATGTTCACACTGCAGGCGTCTGTTTGGGTCCTTTTATGATGGTCCTAAGTCAGATACAGGTCTGATTCTTTGCAATGCAACATCAGTGTGAACACTCATATCAGATTTTTACGTTGCTCTGGATCAACGTATGGTGCAGTGGAGGGTAAGTCAGCTGTAGACCATTGTTAAGTTTTGGGATGAGACTTCGGTACAAGCAAAACTTGAAGGGTCAAATTGTAACCGGTCTGCACCTCCGTACAGTACTAACAGCCGTTGCTCCAAAAAAAAAAAAAAACAGAACAAAAAATGTGTTTCTCTTTCTCCTCGGCCTCATTATCGTCTGCTCATGAATTCTCTGGCTTCCACTGCACATCAACTTATGAATGAAAATGCAAACGCTGATTACAGTGCCCTCCATGTTTACTTCTGTACAACAGCAATCTGCATGGGAAGTCTTTGTCATTGTTCTTTTTCAGTCAGATCTGATCAATAAATCAGAATTGAGTGCTGAGGCTTGCAGTGTGAACATAGTCTGTGATCCTCAGTCATAGACTGTGGTTGAACTGGGCAGCTCCCAGTGTGACTCTGTGGATGTGTGTTAATGTGAAACAGGAAATGTTGTGATCAGACTGCAGCATCTTACAGGAAGTACAGACTGTAACTAATGATTGTTCATCTTTTAACAGCTCTGCAGGATGGAAACACTCTGGTCAATGCCCAAACCATTGTCTATACAGGAACTGAAGGAGGAACTGTCACAGTTAAATGCTCTTTTTCTTCTTCTGGACGCAGTAAGGTCTTCTGCAAGGGAAGATGTAATCAAGAGGACATTCTCATTCAAACTACTGGTGTTACAGCTCAAAATGGCAGATACAGCATTCAATATGAAAGCACTGTTACAGAAGCAAATGTTTTAGTGACCATCACACAGCTGACCGAGTCAGACTCTGGACGGTACAGGTGTGGTTCAAGAGCTCAATACCAGCAGATTGAAATCATCGTTGTAGATGGTGAGTTTCTATTTAAAGTCATGGGAATGTTCTGATAGATTTCGTACTCTACTAAATACTACAGAAAATAAGTCATAGATTGAGAGTGATAGTAAGAATATATTGATATTGAAGATATTCTGACTGAAGTCTGGGCTTTAAAAATGAATGTCAGCCTCTACAACAGAACTACACATATATTTAATTATCAGCTGAATCAGTCACTTTTTACAACTTACACTTACAAAGCATCAAAACAAATCTAATGAAATCAAATCCAGTTGTGGGCAGAATGAGAGATTATGAGGATCTTTGGTGGAAGAATCTAAATCAGTTAGATGGTTACACCTCGACCAGCAGTCACAGACTGGTTTAACTGAGCAGCTCCAACTGGGACTGTAGATCAGATCTGGAACAGGAATTATTGGGATTTCTTACAGGAACTAAAGATTATTGTGATGAGACTGCATCATCTTAAGTACAGATAGTAACTGTTGATTGTTCATCTTTTCAACAGTACTGCTGGATGGAAATCCTCCTGTAAGAACCCTCTATCCAAGACCTGGAGGAAGTATCACAGTTGCTTGTTTCTTTACTGTCTCTGAAAGCAGGAAGTACTTCTGTAAGGACGACTGTAAAGAAGAAGATATTCTTGTTGAAACAACTGGTTTCAGAGGTCAGAAAGGCAGATACAAAATTAGATATATAAAAGGATTTTCTACAGGAGGATTTGTGTTTGTGAGGATCACACAGCTGACCCAGTCTGACTCAGGACAGTACAGGTGTGGTCTGGACAGACCTTCATCACAAGACCCTTACCAGGAGTTTAGGATCATTGTCACAGATGGTGAGTTTCCATTTAAAGTGGATTGAAAATGAATGACAGTGTCTGTTTGTGTCTCTGGAGGTCTGAAGAAAGTTTTCACTGACAGCTGCTGATGTTTTAAATTCAATAAATTGAACACTGATAAATGCTCATTTAAAACCAACAGACACACAGGAGTATCTCATTTCTCTCAGCAGGATTTCTTTCTATCAGTATGTTGTTGTTTCTTTGTCGTCCACAGATTCAACCCATTACGCAAACTTGATTCTACCGGCTTTTTCAACATCAGTCCCATCAACCTTCACACCAACAACACAGCACGCAAGCTCTCAGTCTGATCAGCAGCAGACAACAGCAACTACAGGTACATCCACACACTGTATTTGATAGATGGATACATCATACATTTAAGTGTCCTTCCAGCACGTAACTCTCTCAGCCAAATGACCAACTGGTAGTTTAACATTTCAGACTTTTTTACCTGAAAAAATAAAAAAATAAAAATCTGGGTCTGTGTAATGAATAAAAACTACATTACCCATGAGCTTTAGTGGATTTCAAGAAAATCCCAACCAGAGCTGTGGAATCAGTTTGTGTATTGTCTCAGTGTGTATGTAACAAATAAATGCTTATTCAAATAAAACATTGAAGCGTCTGTAAAACACATTTTTCTCTTCAACCTCACACAGATGTGCTGCTGTATGTGATCCTGATTCTTGCCATCATCGTCATCATCTTGGGACTGGTACTGACCATAATCTGCATTCAGAGGAATGCCAAACTTGACTGTAAGGGGAACAGGAAAAATACAGTAACACAAATTACATTTAACAGAACGCTCACATCAAGGTTTTAACAACTTATTGCAACAGTACACATTTCAGTTTGACAGTGTGGCTCTGCTCATGAAATACTCTGGAAGGAATCTGAACAAACACAACACAGACTGTCCCTGAGATAACAAACACACCTGGCAGAGCCTGAGACACACAACATTTAATGATCATGAACACATGTTCAAGGAAATTCACCAACAAGTAAATGCTAATACACGAGGAAGCTGTGGAGCTGGAAGGAGGTACATTTCAGGGGAGGGAAAATAGCTATTTGGGAATACATAGCATTAGTTTTCTGCTGTTTGCAGGTTTTATAAAGTATCAGGATCTGTTCTGGGTACCAGCTGAAATGACAACAGTGTGCTAACAGTAGTTGGATCACTACAGACACTGAAACAGCAGTTTGAGAGTGTGGCTCTGGGGATGGCATTGTCAGTGTTCAGTCCACCATGTGGTCCAGACTGAAATATTTCAACATCTATTGGATGGACTGCCATTTTTGTACAGGAAGATCTGGTTTAGTTTTGTGTGACTGTGGTTGGTGTTTGATCATTGGCTGTTTTCCTGTTGCTTCAACCCAACAAGAGAGACCTTCAAACCTCATCTGCACTTTCAATAATGACTCAATATAACAGAGAAAATATTGTGTCTGTTCCACAGGTTGGAAGACCAGAGGGAACTCAGATGACACAAACATTGAGGTGACAATATTTTCCTCATGCACAAACCTGTGGCACTCACAAGGAAGTGTGTTGGTTTTTGTTTCCTGCCTCCTTCTCTCACGTCATGTCCAAAACATTCATTCATTCATTTCAAGGTCTCTAACTGTACATTAGGTGTGCTTTTATTCTGTCAAATATCTCATTATTTGTTTCTTTTTTTCAGATTGTCCCTTATGAGAACATTCCTCCAGTCTCTACATTTGAAGACTCCATCTACCAGAGCCTCGATCCAGCCATCAGGAATCAGGACCAAACCTACTCTACACTCAAACACACACAACACACATGAAACTGTTTGGATTCAGGTCTGGATTCTGTTTCTGTTCCTCAAAGGTCCAGTTTGTACGGTGAAATATGAAAATGTGTTTCTCACTTTGCTGGTGTGTTACTTCTTTTCCATGTTTTTTGTGTGATGATAAATTCTTGATTTGTTTGCTTTTTGTCTATTTGAATGTGTTTTTTTTAATTTGAGCTCTCAGGGCCACTGTACATTTGGAGTAAATTGACTTTCTTTTCACATGCTGCCATTGTGATGTATTAACTATGATATCGATTTTATAATAATAATAATAAGAAATATTAGTTTTTTATAGTTTAATATTATTAATAAACAGCATTTCAGTCAAATATATAGTTACATGTGTCAACCATATTCCATATTACTGTTCACTCTAAATGTATTAGCATGTAGTCAGCTATAGGTAACACTTCCAGCTGGCAGACAGTGGGTGCAAATATTTGGTAAAATATTGAATACAAACTACATAAGAACTAGTTTGTGTGATTCAACTTGTTTTAATGTAATGATGTATAAATCTCCACTTACAGACCCTTACATATAATAAGGTTAAGTTTTAACCTTACAAACAACAGATCTCCATTACATTTTCTGTGGATATTCATGATCGTGAGCTGATGCTGCTGAGCATCGGGTGTGGTTATACATGTACATATTTATATGTAATACCCATATGTATATTTGTTGTTGGTAAAGCACTTTGGACCTTTGTGTTAAAAAGGTGCTATATAAATAAAGCTTTACTTACTTACTTTCATGTATCTGGGTTAATGGGTTATTTTTCCTGCCATTAACCATCAATTGATGGTTTCTTGCTGTTCATGATGAATTAAATGGCTCACAAAGTGCTCACAATGTTGTAATGTTTAATGAGTGTGTGTAATTATTAACATGTTAATAAAATCATATTTTCTAACTAGTTTACCCTGTGCATGACACAGTTATTAAATCTTATATTTTAGTTTAATATGAAATCTCTTATCTTGTTTTTTTCTTCTTGTTAATGTATAGATTTTGTATATTTTGTGTCTATTTGTGTGCATTGAAAGACCCCAGGATGCAACTGCATCAGCTGAAACTAATGGTTAATAGACCTGTACTTGTATAGCATCTTCTAGTCTTCTGGCCACTCAAAGCGCTTTAACACACATTCACTCAGCGATGGCTAAGTCCACCGAATGTAAACTAACTCATTCATGCACACACAGACACAGTATACTATTAAACCAGGAGATGGCGGCATAGTCCGAGTGAACAAATGCCGCAGCTAACATGTTGATCTACCCAGCAACCCAGTTAGAATTTAGTCTTCTGTCACATTTTAGTGAGGACTTCCACGGCCATAGTCTCCCTTGGTAGATGTTTGGGGACTTAATTCCTTAGAAAGGATGGTCTCTGTTTTCCCGAGATGAAGAGACTTCTCTGCATTTTGAAGCTCCTCAATCAAAGACTTTTCCACAACTGAGACATCTTTATGAGACAAAACAATAGCTTAATTGTCTGCATACAGAAAAAGATCAGATGAACAGGATTCCTTCAAGTCATTAAGGAAAGATAAAAATAAAGGATAGGCCCTGGTTCACTCCCTATCCACTATCTGTGTCTAATCCATGTAATTACATTTAAAACATTATGTTCCTTTTGGTAAAAAAGACATCTTGACAAGCATCCTAATTTTTCACAAACACATAACAATGAATTCACTGAGAATGAGTTTTAATGACAGTGTTAATAAAAAGTTATACAGGAAACCTGCAGTAGAAATAAAGACTGATGGAGAAGGGAGGAGATTAGAGCTGTGTGTTGTGTTCAGAGGAGGGACTCCATCATTTAAAGAAGTTGGAAGTTCCTGGTTTACCAGTGAGGAAGGAAGAGAGGCAGCAGTAAACCATCAGAGCGTCAACATGAAAGTCCATCACACCTTGATCTGTTTCTTCTTCCTCTGTGAGTACATTCACTTTACCTTTTTTTATCTCTCTCTTGTTATTATACATAACTTTTTCTTAATTCTCTTTATTGCTAGGTAATGTAACAGTTTCTCATGAATGTTTTATGGTCCTTAAACAATCCTCACATGCCCATATGTACATTGGAATGAGAGTGATGAGAGACAAAAGTCACAGTCCTTCTACAGTGTAAAAAAGGCTTCTAATGTTTACCTGAAGTTAATATAAGAATTTAGCAGTCTGTGTTAATCAAATCAATATCTCCCAAAGCTACCAAACATCCACTTTGTGTTTGCACAGACAGTGTTTGCTTGCTGAGTCATGGTGGAGGGACAGGAACAAAAACAGGGACATTTGTACTAAAAAGACTGTAAGTTTGGTAGAGACCGAGTCAGACTGCTGAAGCTGCACATTAGCTCAGAATATATTTTTACACAGAACGAGGACTGTGGATTTTGTGCCCCTTCACTTATATTGAAAGTGCTTTAAAAAGAGATCTCTGTGTGGTCAGTATGAACAGAAGAAACAATTACAGAGAACAAAACTCAACGTACATATGAGCTTATTACTGTTTTAGGACGGACGTGAGAAAATGTGTCAAACCTTTCAAACAGAGTTACTACTTCCTCTAAATAAACTGTACACCAGGAAGGAAAATGAAGCCCACAAACTTAGCAGAGTAGTCTATTTAAAAAAGAAGTGTTTTTTTACTTCTTCACTTCTTTACTTCTTTTACTTCAAACAAGAACTGGTAAGTATGCTGTTGTCATGGATACGGTGAAACTGTTAAGGTGTGGGCAGCAGCGTACATTTGTTCCCTGAATTAACTAACAGTTGATGTTTTGCTGTGTGCCACTGAATACACTGTCAACTATCGCCAGGCTTCTTTACATGTAACTGAGTTATGTAATCAGGATACAAAAAAGGGATGAAACGTTTCGAGATACAGGTGCAGCCGTAAGCCAGACTCATGGCTCATTTTAATATTCAAATGAGCCATGAGTTGATTCACCACACTCATGCACAGTTGCTTTCACCAGGCTGTCAATCAAGCGTCGGTTGTTGGTTATACAAATATGGACTTTTATTGTTGAATTTCTGCAAAATTATTAAATATAATCTCAGCATTAGGGTAATTGCGGAGAAACAGCGTATTCACTTCCGGTTTTCAATATAAAGGTATTAAGAACAGTAAGCTATAATTCGAACCTACATTTAAAATAAAATGTTACATTAAAGTGTTTCATGCGAACATTGATGAAGAAAAACATACTTAATAATGTTTGCTATTTTAATAATGACCACCACAACTGTTCTTAAAATGCAATAATCCCTTCACAGGTATTTATTCACAAAATAAAATGCGTTGAATGTATTTTTAGTATAAAATAAAATAAAATGAAATTGCACAGAATTACCCAAATGTACATAAAGAGATTTTCAAAATAAAGTTCACTTTCTTTTTGGTTTCTCACCTTTTCTTTAACTTAAAAAGAAAAACCCTTTTTGTTAGATACTCTTGAAATAAAATACCTTCAATTTAAAATCAATATTTAATCCATCTCAGAATCTTTAAATTACCTTCAGAACAGTATTCTTTAATTTACACCAACTCAAAACTCAATATGTTACCTGGTTTTGGATCTGGACCTTGTCCAATGTGGTCTATGTGCTGAAAGAAGTGTGAAATTAGTCTTTATTGCATTTTCACAAATAGAATAAAGGTTTCACAAATCAGAGACTGTTTTTATGAATCTTCAGGGTCTGTACATGAATCCAGTCCAGATTTGAGAGGTCTAGGTACAGTTGTTTTTGATCTGGACCTGGTCTAATGAGGTCTTGGTGTAAAACAGAAACGGTGAAATCCCCCCTTTAGCATTTTCACAAATAAAATAAAAGTTTCACAGATACAATCATAGGTGTCAGGCAAAGCTGATGTCTTACCTAAAATGTCTAAAACGTTTTCACATCAAGAAGTGTCACAAAAAACAGACAATCAGTGGACAAACAGTCGCACTGCACAATAAGTTAATTTCCCCTTAACTTTCCCCTTAAGTGCCGAATCGGAGGCTGGCGAATTGGAAGCCAACTTCAGCGTCGTAATGGGGAAGAGAGTCTCACGATGGTAAGGGCAATGACGATGACAGTCAATCCAAACACACACGCGGGCAATGGCACGGTTGCGAAGAATACACAGCACAGCAGGCAGGACACGGCCGAGCACAGCCGAACACGGCCGAACAGCAGGGCCATCGGTTGGAAACCCGTCTCTCTCCAACGTCCGTCTCCTTAAAGCATATTATCCGAATTGAGCCACAATATCAAAAATATCGATATGGCAATATATCGCGATACTTTGCCGCCCGATACAATATCGATTTTTCAACTCCAAAGATAATTTTTTTTAAAGAATAATGATTCATGTTTAGACGCGTTGTGAATACAGTATGACTTCCGTACCTCCACTCCGGTAGATGGCGCCGAAGAGCGACTCTGCTGTGCGGTGCATGTATTTCTGTATTACACCGAGCTCCTCAGAGTACACCGAGCTAAACGGGGGGGCACGTACGATTCGCAAAACAAAGATGGCTGCTGTATTTTCTTTGTATTTGACTACGTTGGTCGTTTTAATGTCGATTTTAAATGCTCTTACACACTGTTTACATTGCTGCTTTAGTCCGGTCACCAGTTTATACATTGCACGATGTTGCTGTGCGTTCAATACAATGTAAAGTTTTGTTTTCGAGCTGGTTTGCTAAATAGGCTAATGTAGCTAACAATAACACTAGCCTGCCACTGGAGGCCCCTGGAGGCTCCCTGGAGGCCCCTGGTGGCTCCCTGGAGGCCCCTGGAGGCTCCCTGGAGGCTCCCTGGAGGCTCCCTGGAGGGTCCCTGGAGGCCCCTGGAGGCTCCTGGAGGGTCCCTGGAGGCTCCCTGGAGGCTCCCTGGAGGCTCCTGGAGGCCCCTGGAGGCTCCCTGGAGGCTCCCTGGAGGCCCCTGGAGGCTCCCTGGAGGCCCCTGGAGGCTCCTGGTGGCTCCCTGGAGGCTCCCTGGAGGCCCCTGGAGGCTCCCTGGAGTCTCCCTGGAGGCTCCCTGGAGGCCCCTGGAGGCTCCTGGTGGCTCCTGGTGGCTCGAGACAAACGCCACAGCACTTGTTGAAATTGAAATAGGCGAAAATGGCAAAATATTATTGAAATAACAGAATTGCTTGAAATGTTAGTGTTTCTGTAGAAAACATTATTATTTCACATTGAGCTTGTTTAGAGCCACAAACAACAAGACAGCTGCTGCACTGGTGGCGTCCATGTTCTGTTAAATTAATAAAAGGAAATTAATAATAAATTAATAAAATGGAGAGGCTGTTTTGAATGAAATAGCTTTGACTCAATTTGTCCTCTGATCAATATCATCTGATGTGCATATACAGCATATTTCATCTCTATTTATATCAGGATATCGTGATATCGCGATACTTATCGTATCGTGACCAAAGTATCGTGATACGTATCGTATCGTGAGGTTCTTGCCTACTATCTCATGTCGAATTAGCATTAGCTTGCTTTAGCTTCAGAAATATCACAATGCTACAGCTACGATATACAGGCACATTAGCACCGAATGCTACTGCTAGTAAGCACGTCGCTAACCGCGTTACACATCCAGTTTCTTTAAACTATAACAGTTAGATATAGCACAAAATACAGGCATACACATCATATTCACCTCTTGCAGGTCACACAGAAGTTTATATCAGGACCACGAGTAGTCGACCTCCACGATAAAGCCTAAATGCTCCCCACACCAC